CTTTAAAAAAGAATAAACAAGCTGAAGAGAAGTGCAAAAAAAATTGAAGTGGATAGGACTGGAACCAAGAAGTAGAAAATCTGAAAACCTGCACCCAAAAGAATGGGGATCAAATTTTTACATGGCATTCATTTTGACTTTTAATTATTAGCAGCAAGGGCAGGAAAGGGAAAGGAAACAAAAAAAAGAATAAAATGACTACATCAGTATTATTTTTTCGCCAAAAAGTATTTCTTAATTCCAGCAATTTCTGTACTGCAAAATTTGAGTTTAGTTGCTTGATCCTTTAAATACTGGGAAGCTGGTTTATACTCTTTTGTAGCTCTATATTTTCAAGATCTGTTTTCCAAGAAAAATATTGAAAGATCGTGTATTTAAAGAAAATGAAAACTCACTTTTTTTTTTTTTCTCATTTAAATGTCTAATGGCAGATAGAAACATGAATAACTGCAAAATTTACCATCCTACCAAAAGAGTTGTGGGAGGATATCAAACACAGAGCACTTCTTCACTAAGCAGAGGCAAATGCCCCTAGAGTGAATACTGCCACCTCTCCTATTTTCTGTCCAAGAGGCAAGATGACGTGGCCATGGCAAGGGCAGAGGAGGCAGCAGTGGCAGTGGCTGGAATGAGCAGTGGGCAGGGGACATCTATTTTTTATCAGATGCAATGGTAGATTATTTTTTGCATTTCTGAGATATTCACCCATCATGTGCCACCTTGAGCTGTGCGTGTGTGGGGGTGAAGGTGTGTGAGTCTGCTTTTTTCCCATAGAATTATTTCTCAGAGTGGGATGTTCTCATCCTACGTGTACCAGGCTGAAAGCAAAGGAACTGTGTTCAGGAAGATGCTAAATAAAGAAAGTGGTTGAACAGAGAGGGAGGATGAAAGAACTATGCTGATGCTAGTGTCAAAATAAAATGGGACAACCGCTTAAAACAAAAGCCTGGAACACTTTAGTGTACTTGGAAGATTTAATTAGAACTACGTAGGTCTCCCCTCCTTGTGCTCTACATAATAATTTCAGTTGTGCAAGGTACCATGCTGTAAAAAGGGAAGGGATTTACATCTTTTATTGAGAGTGGAAATACCTGAACGTTGCTGCACACAGACAAGTACAAATGGAAAAAAAAAAAAAAAATAAAAAAAATTGGGGTACCCGTGTTTAAAAATGGTTGTCATAGAATGTATGGGAGCCAAGAATCTCAAACCTGTTTCTATTTTAACGTGGCTGTTTGTACACAGCTCTCATTATTAACATATTATTTATTTTTTGTATACTAGAAGACTGTACAAATATATCAAGATTTGTATCTGCAAATTCTTCACTGAAGTTGCAAGGCAACCTTAGCTATGTAATGTGCCTATGACAGTATGCTACACTATGTTGTATTTTATATTATTGGGAAACCAGGTTATATTGTTTGGCAAATATAGAATCATAGAATAGTTAGGGTTAGAAAGGACCTTAAGATCATCTAGTTGCAACCCCCCTGCCATGGGCAGGGACACCTCACACTAAACCATCTCACCCAAGGCTCTGTCCAACCTGGCCTTGAACACTGCCAGGGACAGAGCATTCACAACCTCCCTGGGCAACCCATTCCAGTGTCTCACCACACTTACAGGAAAGAATTTCCTCCTTATATCCAGTCTAAACTTCCTCTGTTTAAGTTTGAACCCGTTACCCCTTGTCCTGTCACTACAGTCTCTAATGAAGAGTCCCTCCCCAGCATCCCTATAGGCCCCTTTCAGATACTGGAAGGCTGCTATGAGGTCTCCATGCAGCCTTCTCTTCTCCAAGCTCAACAGCCCCAACTTCCTCAGCCTATTTTTATACGGGAGGTGCTCCAGTCCCCTGATCATCCTCGTGGCCCTCCTCTGGACTTGTTCCAACATTTCCATGCCTTTTTTATGTTGAGGAAACCAGAACTGCACACAATACTCCAGGTGAGGTCTCACAAGAGCAGAGTAGAGGGGCAGGATCACCTCCTTCGATCTGCTGGTCACGTTCCTTTTGATGCAGCCCAGGATACGCTTGGCTTTCTAGGCTGCGAGTGCACCCTGGAGCCGGCTCATGTTCATTTTCTCATCAACCAACACCCCCAAGTCCTTCTCTGCAGGGCTGCTCTGAATCTCTTCTCTGCCCAACCTGTAGCTGTGCCTGGGATTGCTCTGACCCAGTGTAGGACCTTGCACTTATCATGGTTAAACTTCATAAGGCTGGCATCAGCCCCCCTCACAAGTGTGTTGAGGTCCCTCTGAATGGCATTCCTTCCCTCCAGAGTATCAACTGAACCACGCAGCTTGGTGTCATCGGCAAACTTACTGAGGGTGCACTCAATCCCACTGTCCATGCCCATATAACACACAAAGTTAATTAATAAATTGTAAGGCAGAAGGGATTTTCTTTGTTTTGGAAGGAAATATTTTATCTGTTTGTTTGCAGCTGACCATATGTTTAATGTACATTTTTCTAGCAAACGTATAACAGAGTGTCAGGGAAGTAGCCTGGTTGTTATATAGTCCTGGATAGCTGCACTTTGGGTCAGATGGGAATCATCTGGAAGGTGGGAGGTAGCATCATACACATAAGTTCCCTGAAAAACATGTTTAAGTAAGAGAAATACCTGGAGTTCAAGGTGGCTTTGGCATGAAATAATTAGAACAGCAAAGACGGACCCAGGAGAGGATGGAGAGACCTCAAGGTTCCTATGGCAAATGTGGGTAGCAGTAGGGCTTGCTCATAGGAGAGAACAGGAAAGACTGCCCACTTAAGAGGAAGACACTTCTCAGAGAAGAAATGGGTTTTACCATAATGCACATAGTTGCTAGAATTTAGTGGTCTGAAAAGTGGAACAGGCAGAAAGGATCTGACCTCTAAGAATGTGATATGAAAGAGAGAAAATTGATTTCAATCACCTTTTCATTTACTCCTCTTCAGTGGCAGATCTGAATCTCAATCTGCAGATGTGACTCTTTTAGATATAAAAAATATTACCTGTTCTAATATACTGACTTTTAAGTGACTGCACTTCAAGGAGCTTATTTTGCAAGTGTATGGTCCCATCATAGTAGTCATTTAGTGCAATTTGAATAATCCTTAGGCTTCCATGAGTAAATTCTTGCTCGAACTAGCATGATATCTTAAATGATTATCCAGCCTTGGCAGTCATCTTCTGTAATAGAAATTTATCTGCCTTTGGCAAGCTGTCCAAGGACTTAATTAGCTCCACTGTGTTGTACCTTCTGCTTAGCTTAGTGAATTTACCTCTCTTCTGTTACTGTCTGTCATTAACTTTCTGTCTCCTCGATTGCAGTCTAAATGGATCTTCAAGTTCATTTTTTTTTTTTTAAGGTAAACTCATTAGACACGGTTCCTTTTTTCTTCCAGCATTTCAATGTTTTAACCATAATTTTGGTCTCCAAAGGAAGGAGGAATGTAAGTTTTCTCTGCTGTGTTCCGTTAACAAAAACTGCAGGCTAGACTTTTTCATTCATCATTTCACAAAGACTGCAGAAGTCTCAGAAGTCAGAGATTTCCACAATGAATTCTCTGTCCTGTCAACATGGAGGATTATTCCTACATTTCCAGTAGTATACTTTCTCACATGAAATCCTACTTCTCTTTGCACCTAGCTTAGGAGGTGAGTTAGGCCCCCCTGTAATGATGATATCTTTAGTACCTATGACATAGACAACCCTGGCACTACCAGCATCCAAAGCAATACAATTTATCAGCATTTGCTCCCTTGGTTTTCAATTAAAAAAAAATATATCAAGGAGAATCTAAATCTAGCTCAGTTCTAAAGTGTATTCAGTTCCACCCAAAGTCCTTCTGTAGCCATCCCCATGAATCTGGTTACATGTTCATTTTAAAACTTCTTTTATAAACACATTTTGATGCCTTTAATGACTGTCATTTTTCCTAAGCAATTTCAATTTTCTCTCTCTGCTTCCAGTTGTTGCCATAGGTAGTGGCAAACACATTAAAAATGCACAGTAGTGACCTTTTTTTACTTAAAGATATCTAATAAAAAAGAAACTAATTGAGGAGCTTGAAAGATCAGTCTTTTTACAGTGTAGGAAAAGCATTCTGATCATTTCAACGTTAGTCTTCAAAATGATGAAACTCTTAACTTAGGAGATACAGGCATTACATAGCTGACTTTAGAAACCAAGTGACTATTGAAGGCTCTGGATATCAGAAACATTGAAAGTGTTTCCACTGAAAAGCTTTTAAATTTATTTTTAATTTTGTCTATTTATTTATTTATTAAATTTGTAAGCAGTGAATTCTATTACCAAAAACAATAACTCATTACTAAAAACAATAACTCAAAAACAATGCGCACAGGGATTTAAGTAAAAAATATGTTAAGATACACCTATGGTTTATATGTGGTAGAAGGCTTGAATTTGTCTGGAAGTCCCCTTTCATGCCATAGCCTATCATGTAGGTTTTTCCCAAGTAGAGTATATGAACAGATAAGATTTTTTTTTATTTAAGTGGTGAGGTTTGTGAATGGGAGAATTGTAGTTCATAGGCTGGAATATCTTTTAACATAATTTACTAATGGATGTCCTGAGGGTCACATCAAACCATTTTCTTATTCTAATTGGTGTGAAAGCAGAACAAGACTATTGCAAATTTCATTAGGCTGGTCCCATAATTTATGCAGTTAAATATTTGCTGAAACTGTCAATGAAACACTTGTACTCAAAATTTATAGAAGTAGTCTTCTTGCAATGTCATCACGGACTCATGGTTCCATAAAGATTGTTTTGTCTAAATGTGCACAAAAAAAATAGTCATGATATTTTACAATATCAATATATTTTTCAGTATTTCAAATGATCTGAATATCTTTCTGCTGTAAGTCAATTCATCAATATTTGCCATACAGGAATTATTGATACTAAACTTCCCTTGAACGAATTATAAGCATTTTTTGTTGTTTTTTGTGTTTTTTCCAACAAATGTTTTTGGTGAATCTCAGAAACAAAACAATCTTGTGTTTAACAAGCCAGGAGAAAGTGTTGCTTTTACTTGCCCTTATAACATTGCAGATTCAGTGCTGCAAGTGATGTGGGAAAGGATTAAAGCAGATTGAGTAGATATCGTTGTTCTGTGCAGCTCATTAGGAAAGCAAAGCTTTGGTTCACATTTCAAAGAGCGTACACTGATGGGTTGCTCTGATCAGGCAAAATCCAATATTGTTATCCCAAACATTACAGTCTCTGACTTTGCAAATTACCACTGTGTAGCTACTGAGAGAAACAAAACCCATGTAATGATTTTTACTGCGGCTGGTAAGTAAAGGAGGAAGTGGTAAATGTTTTCATAATAGGACCTTCTGAGGCATCAACATTTTCACCCATATAAAATAACTCTTTGGTAACAAGTGAGGGTTAATTTAAATAATACCGTACTCCAATTAGCAGCATGTAAAATATGGCAAAGTTAACAATTAATCATATTTCCACAGAAAGAGGCTTGTTTTAAGCTTGTCTGATCTCATTATTGAACTTAACCTATTTGTGAAAAACTGTTTTGATGCTGGGAAGAAGATAGACTGCATGAGTTTGCAGGGAGAGGAGGGCATTCTTCCAGAAAAGATATGAGGGGAATTCCCTATTAGCACAGAGCCACAGGGGCCCAGGGCAAGACTTACCCTCCAATGAAGACAAAGAGCACACTCAGCTGAAAATGTAAATATATACTGGCCTCAACCTTACTCTTGTAAGGAGTTTCTCTGGGGGAACTGAGAAGCTCAGTGTTTTTTACTGTGACTACTGTCACAAATTGATTGTAATGGGAGCTTAGGTCCACACGTAGTTTTAGTTCTTTTGTGGAGAATGTATTTTGAAGATACAGTTCTTGTTTGTCCTGGGTTCAGCAGTAGCAGTCATTTTTCTCCTTCTTAGTAGCTGGTGCAGTGCTGTGGTTTTGACTTTCAGCCTGGGAATAACGTTGATAACACCGATGGTTTTAGTTGCTGCTCAGTAATGTTTACTCTGACCAAGGACTTTCTGAGTCTCATGCTCTGCCAGGGAGGAGGGGAAGTCGGGAGGAAGCAGAGACAGGACACCTGACCCAAACTAACCAAAGAGGTATTGCATACCACAGCACATCATGCCCAGGATGTAAAACTGGGGGCAGTTACCCGGAAGGGCTAGTTTACTGATCAGGTCAGGCTGGGTATCTATTGGCAGGTGGTGAGTGGTTGTAATCTCTTCCCTTGTTATTTCCTTTATCATTATCATTATTGGTGGTAGCAGTAGTGATTTGTGTTATACCTTTGTTCCTGCACTGTTCTTAACTCATGGGAGTTACATTCTTTCGGTTCTCCTCCCCATCCCTCTGGAAGCAGGGGTAGGAAGGAGGGGGGGAGTAAGCGAACAGTTGCGTGGTTTCTGGGTTGCTGGCTGAGCTTAAACCACAACATTGTTCTACATGGGTCCTTCTTCTGTTGCAGTATTCAGTCCAGCTTCTGGTGTACTGCCTTGCGCCTGGTAATACATGAGTGTTGGTAGACATATTTAAGAGCTGTAGCATGGAGTATAAAACTTCAGAATATGCTTAATCTGCAATATGGTTAATTGAGAAGTGGAAAATATGCTTGGGAAAAAAATGCTGATCTGCTTTACTGTTGATACTTGACCATGAAAGTCCATGAAATTGAGCAGAATGCCATAAAGAAAGAGGTATAAGGACAAAAATTCCTCTCACCTTTAGGAATTTTAAACATTCAAATTTCAAAATATTTACGATATTGGTATAATCAAGCATATCCAAATTGCAGAGTAATAGAAATATTTTCTGTTTGCTCCAAGTGCTTCTCATACCAAAATGAATGCATATGTGTTGCAAGCAACACAGTAATTTTCAGAATTACCAGAACTACCTACACAATTTTTTTCAAGAAGAGTTTGGTTTCCATGTTTCTTTTGCTCTTGAAATTGATCCTATATATAATTTTTTGTTCTAACAATGCCAGCATAATTATGCCTGTTTACTGGAGGAAAAAAAATGTATAAAACCATTGCAGAAGCTGAAGTACAGTCTGATTCAGAAATCACTCCCTTGTCTCCCTTTTAAGCCCTCACTTGATATGAGGTGGGTTTTGTTGAATTTTCACTAACTTCAAAAGAAGTGAAGTCTCAAGGATTTCCAATTATTTCTCTTTTAATGTTTGAAATGTTTCATAACACAATATTTGCAGTGAGATATGGAGAAACACTAAGGGGAGAGAAGCAACAGGCCAGGCGCCAGCTTCCCCCCGCAATGTGTAGCATAGCCAGTGAAGTCTCTCACAAATTCATGAGTGCCTTTGCTTGATGCAACAAGCCACGGTTTGAATAAAGCAAGTGCTGACAGAAAACTGCTACGCTAGTTCTTTGTGTATGTTCTGTCAATCCAGTCACATTTTTTTCTTTGGCTTAGCATTACAGTTAAGCCACACAAGAGCTTGGATTTCCTACCAAACTCCTCCTTTGTTGTCTGTCAGTGGGATTCTGCATGCGTACTGCGAATCTTCTCGCTTTGCCCAGTTCCAGAGATGTTTTGAAATACTGAGTCTAGGAGTTGGGACAATAGCTGCACTGTAAGCAGTAATACAGAAAACTCTGATTAGGTAGAGAGAAAGTAAAAGAAAAGAAATTATTTTATTATTAATATTTTTTGAGAGACCCCAAGAATGTCTGAAGAGGAGGAATCTTGGGTGAAAGGAAGTAGAAATAAGAGTGCAGGATTATTTGCAGAGCTGATAATAGTTCTAAACCTTCAGATTCTGAGAGGTGGTACTGTAGAAAGAAGTAGATTGCTTCTTGTCTATAGGTGAATGTATTTTTGCAAGGAAAATCAGCATGGTATTGCTATGAAGAAAAAAGGAAGAGAGGAGGGAAAAGGTATTCAAATGTCAGGAAAGCCTGAACTATTCTTGCAGTTTTATCAGTAGAAGTCAGCATGCTGCATTTAAGGTTTTTCAACATGAGTGAAGGTAAAACCGTAAGGTGCTTTCATTATCATTAAGTTCGTCCAGTCTATCCCGCTAAATATTGTGATTGTTGTTTTTAGTAACAGGAATTTCCATCTGAAAGGAGCCTTCTGCAAATCTTTTTGACCTCGAAACCTGGCACACATAAAGCAGCATGTGTATGCAAAGGAGTGTAGCTTTTGTTGGACAGCACCTACTGAAACAGAAGGCTGAATATTTCATAATAATATAATGTATTCAAGAGACTTTGGATAAATTTCTGGTGTGTTCTTCATCATATTTCTCCTTCTAAAAATTCTAATGATATGGAGATTGGTCATGTCACCAGATTCCACATTTGAACCTGTTTCTGATTTTTACTTACCTTGCCTTTTCCTTTGATTAGATTTTTTTTTTTTTGAGCATGTTTTTGAATGAAGGAAACCGACTTACAATCCATGTATTGTTTTGATAGATGACTGGGAAAGAAGGTGAGATACCACATGAAAGAACTGAAAAGTTAGCAGAGTTAAAAAAGGAATGCTTATTCCATCCTGAAGACCCAGCCATTTTTAGAAAGATGTAATAAGGTTTTTCTTGCTTCATTAGCAAGTGGGATAGCAAGCTCTCTTAGACAAAGTAAAATAGAAACATCTTGTGCTGCTATGTGTTTCCACTAGATCTGAAAAACTGGGTGGTGCTTGTATTTAAATATATATTTACAGTCAGAATTACATTATGGCTTGTACTAGCCTTCTCAGCAGCTTTGTTGCCCTCCTCTTGACACCTTAGTCAAATACCTTAATATCCTCAAATTGTGGGGCCCAGAACTGTACGTAGTGCTCAAGGTGAGGCTGCAACAATGCTGAATACAAAGAGATCATCACATCTTCTGACAGGCTGCCTGTGTTGTTTGCCTTTTTGGCTGCTGACTTCTGTTGAGCCTGCTGCTGACAAGTACCCCCAGATCCCTTTCTGTAGGCCTGCTCTCCAGCCACTCCCCTTCCCGTTTATACTTATGCCTGCTGTTACTCTGTCTTGGATGTAGAATCCTGCATTTGTCCCCTTCATCCATTTGGCTGGTTACCTTACCTTAATAGAAGGTTATCACATTAGCTGGACAGGACTTTCCCTTTGTGAACCCATGTTGACTGTGCCTTTAGATTATTTTCAACAGCACCCAGTATGATCTTCACAGCAGCAGATGAAAAGCAGGCTACAACTTGTCCAGTCATTGAGGGTTATCTATGTCCTTCTGAGCTAAAAGAAGAAAGTAGCACTTCTGTGCCACAGAAAACAGAATATAAGGCTACAGCTGGTGGTGAGGACAATCAGGGTAGGAGTGAAATTAACTTCCTTCTTTCCTCATAAATTCATACAGTGTGAACACAAGATATCAGACCATGCTGTGGGTCTCTACTCAACAAATCACCTTTCTCTGAGCATGAATGCATTCATGCTGGATTTCTGCCTTTGAGATTTGGGCAAAACTATTTCAGATGTCTAGTTAGCATACCATATGTGCCAGTCCAGCAAGGCATGTGACAAACTACATGCAGATCTTTACAGTGAGTTCAAATCTCTTGTTAAAACAAATTGCTGTCTGGCCTATCAGACGGCATATATATATATGCCGTCTGATAGATAAGCATATATATATATATATATGCTGTCTGTATATATAAGTTTTATATACATATATATATATAAAGTGCCAAGGCTAGAAAGATGGCAGAGAGAGAGACACATTGTCTAATACTTAACAGAAATTGAACTGCAGCTGAAAATACACTTAATAGCCTGCCATCAGCATGCCACCTTTGATGAGAACACAAGAACTAAAGAGACACATGACAAGCCTCTGACATGTTTCTGCAAACTTTTGAATGTTATATTAAAGTCAGTAATTACAAAAGGTTTTATTTAGTTAAAGAAAACAAATGCTCCAGGAAGGCTTTGCTCACTTCAAATGAGAAAAGGCAAAAGGGCTTTGAGGTGTTGTCAGTTCTAAAAAAAAAAATAAAATCTAACGATTTTTTTTTTTAATCCAGATTTAACTGACAGCTGATAATCCCATCTCTCAAACTCATTAACTCCTAGATGATTATCTTAACCTGATAAAGCGAGGGTGAATTCAGAAAAATTAGATCTGGAGTGAAGGATGGGGATGATGCTGAAGTATGGAACTCTATTCAGATTCAACCATCCTTGATGATAAAATATAAGATTTTAAATTTTTCTCCCCATGAATACAGGATGTTTTCTCCTTAAGTACTCATGGCAGAGAAAATGATGTTCTGTGGCAGGTAGCTGAATACCTGAAAAAAGACATAATCTTTCTGAATTTGATCATAATTATATGCACTATCCTGTCATTTTAAGTACACAGCAGATGAAAACATGCTGGTAGTAGAGTGATTTCATATGTGGTTATAATACAGAAGGCATCACTTTTTGCTATCAGGCAGCCTTTTCTGTTGTGTCACATACCTTCATCAGTGTAAACTTCTGGGAGAATTTTGTTTCTTTTTTCTTTCCAGTAAAATAACATTGGAATGCAAAGATAAGACTTTTCTGTAATCAGTATTATTTTTTTTTTATCTTGGAAAATGATCACATTAATACTAAAGATGTGTACCTGAGCATGTCTCAGCTGCTACTCAGGATAGCCAGATAAGAAGCTGTGAACCTTTTTGATCCTGGTGAGAAAAGACATGGTGATGGCTCAGCAGCTGGTTAGCTGGGACTACAGTCCTGTCTTGAGTTAAGCAGTAGCAGTCATTTTCCTCCTTCTTAGTAGCTGGTGCAGTGCTGTGGTTTTGACTTTCAGCCTGGGAACAACGCTGATAACACCAATGGTTTTAGTTGCTGCTCAGTAATGTTTACTCTGACCAAGGACTTTCTGAGTCTCATGCTCTGCCAGGGAGGAGGGGAAGCTGGGAGGAAGAAGAGACAGGCACCTGACCCAAACTAACCAAAGAGGTATTCCATACCACAGCACGTCATGCCCAGGATGTAAAACTGGGGGCAGTTATCCGGAAGGGCTAGATCACTGCTCGAGTCAGGTGGGGTATCGGTCGATGGCTGGTGAGTGGTTGTATTCTCTTCCCTTGTTATTTCCCTTATCATTATTATTATTGGTGGTAGCAGTAGTGATTTGTGTTATGCCTTCGTTACTGGACTGTTCTTATCTCAGCCCATGGGAGTTACATTCTTTGGATTCTCCTGCCCATCCCTCCAGGAGCAGGGGAGAGGGGCGGGGTGAAAGAGAGATTGCGTGGCTCTGATTTACGGCTGGGCTTAAACCACAACAAGTCCTTAGTGATACTGACTGTTTTCTTTTGCCTAAGAACTGAGCATGTCACCTTCTTGTCTACCCAGAATGAAAGGTCTTCAGGGAAGCTGTGGTTTCATCTTTGAATGCTATCTTTCCCCGTACAGTGGACAGAACATCAAAGAGTGACTAATTTAACGACAGTTTTTTCGTCTCTGTTCACCAATGAATTGCTAGTGTTTATCTGAAATACATGAAACAACTTGTGGCCATGAAATATGACCACCATCTCTTGTGCTAAGTAACACAAGAGGTATTACTCCTTTTCCATCCCAGGACATCCTCACTTTTTTTGTACCTTTTTTTGTTTTACTCCTACATGTTGAGAAATTGAAGGAAGTGCAGAGGTGCAACACAGGAGCAGGAAGCAGGGCCCTGTGGTGTGCTGCAAAAAGCTGGCTTGAAGTTATGTGGTTTAACACTTTTTTTTTCCTAAGAGTTTTAAATGCATGATAACTGTACTGAGGTCTTGTGTGATGGCTTCCTGTGTGACTTTATTACCTCTGTTTTTTGCCCCAGCTTTTTTCACCTCAAAAATGAGAATAATATGCCATTACCACTCCACAAACTTAGGCACTGCAAGAATATATTGACTTATAACTAGAGGCCAGTGTCTTGCCTGTCTCTACCCTTTAGTTATCACATCTTTTCCTACCTAGTTGCTCCTTAGCTTCATTTGAAGATGTGACTCCATACTGAAGAAGTCTGCATTTTAAGCAAAGTTACTGTAAATGTAACTTCTCCTGCATTGGTTGTAATTCGCAAAGAAATTATTTTTGCTTAGGTTAGAACAAATAGGGTGGACTTCCATCATCAGAGCACGTAAAATAATATGTTATTAAAAAAAAGTGATGAAACAGAAGACATTTCTGTGGAAATATTTTTGTTAAAAAATGAAGAGATTTCTTTTTGAATTAGAGCAGAAAATAATTGGCACGCTGTGTGTAGTACTGAATAGAAATCCTCTTGAGGACTGAGGTGGTCTTTCTGGTACTCTGAAAAGTATCTTGTTGCTTATGGACATATTGCAAGATTGTTGGTTATCTAACTTTTACAATGCCAACAGCATTTACTTAAGTAGTCAGAGTGCTTTTATTATCCATATATCAGGTCACTTATGTATGCAATGCTTTCTTACCTGGGAAGGGAAGGGAATAGGAAAGGATTATACAAGGCAGCAGGATTTTTTCATACAACTGTGCTCACTCACCTTTCACAATTTCATAATAACTAGCTTAGCAAAACAAAGGTGTTTTAGAAATGAGGAAATGGTTGTGAGGTCTGAATATTGATCATGAGCTGTCATCAAATAATGTCTCTACATGATCATTGATTTTCAACTTATTTTGTCGTAAAAAGTTCATGCTGGTTTATGCAAAATACTAACGATATTTATTACTATTGTATTTCAGCAACTTGGTATCACAAACGGTTTATTGTCAGCATAGCTAGAGAGATTTCTGCTGCTGTCTTACTGTTAGTTTTTCTATCGATCTTCATCACCACTGCTTATCACAAACAGTGAGTAACAAAACAATTTGCTTAATATACAGAAGCAGGTAAATGTGAAGGTGTTAACAGCTCATGCTACTATCCTCCTCAGTATCAGTTAAAAAAAAAATGTAGATGTGAAAATTGAATTTTCTCGCCAACATTTTAAACCTGAAAAAACCTGATCCATTCTACAGCCTATGAAAGAAATGACAGTTTATGTCCGTGTTGGAGGTGTGTCTCGCCCCCTCCCCCCTCTTATTTTTCACATTAGAAAAACAAATGGCTTACTGAAGTTCCTTAGTCAGCTAAATGCTCACAGTGGTATTAGCTGGAATTTCACACCACAGGTAATCTGTCAGGAATAACATAAACCTAGGCATAGACTTTTCCTATTTTGTGCATAGAGGGCAGGTGACATCTTGGGGTGTTCTACATCTTCTAGCATTTTTCTGTCATATGATTTAAAGTTCCAAATTTTTTCACAGCTGGATCCAAACTAATTGTTAAACCATTATCTAAGTTGGCTGTATTCCTTGCCAAGTATATGCTATTGGTGTGATCCAGAATCTCTGTTTCCAATGAAAAGAAAAAGTGAGCAGAAAAAAAAATTCTTCCCCTGCCACAATATCTGGAACTTGTTGGCAACAGCTTCCCACATTTGCTCCTGAATCAAAGGGCCTCTTTTTCTTTGTCCAGGCTTTTATGAAACACTGCTAATCTATCTCATACATGTTATAGTTTACAAGTCAGAGGAAAGATTATTTGGATTTTTTATTGTAATTACTGGTTTCAGTGGGCAAGACCAGAATTATTTCTTGTATGCTGGAATTAGATATTTTGAAGTATACTACCATTCATGATGCAGATCCCTCCACTGTTTTTCTGACTGAATGTGTGTCCTCAGCAAGAGGAGGAAGGGGATCACAGAGACTTTCTCAAATGATTTGTGTCCTACTCAGATGCAGGTGGAATTAACTCACATCTTGTATATTTCTTGACACCTTTCTCTTCTGTATCTGATCTTTATATCCCCTAAATCTTATGGTCTAATCTTAAACTATATAGACAGGAAAAATGTAATATTTTAAAGTGTGATTATTGCTATTTATTTTTTTTAATGAATGTTTTTTAATATTTTACAGATACATTTAGAGTTGTAACTGCATTCCATGTTATTAACAAATTAGCGCTTTTGGTTCACTAGCATTCTTATTATTTATTTTCTTCAAGTCACTATTGTAAAACTGAAGCAAACAATTGTATCTTGTGATAACCTTTGTCTTGATCTATTTTTTCTAGTTGCGCTTCACTGTAATTTGTTGGGACAGATGCTTCAGTGCTTCTTTCTTTTTTTGTACTGTCATAATCAATGTTTTGCAGCTCTCTCTCCCCCAACTCCCTCCCCTCTCATCCTCCCCCCCCCCCCCCCAATAATCCTATTCAAGGCCTTCAGAAGTGGAAAACAGACAATTTCACTGCTTCTGCCTTGTCTCTTCATATTTTAGGTTGGGGTATGAAGCTATGCTGTACTTAAGGAAATGATTCCATTTTCACAGTGGATATGAGACTGGCTTTCCACTTATATCCTCTCAGATGATCCTCTGTATGATCCAATGGTGAGCTCCACTGTCAATATATCCTTATAAAGCCATTTGACCTCATGTTATTTCCATTAGTCTCATTTTGACTGTTGGGTCACTGTACCAGACTGAAGCTCTTACCAGTGACCATAGGCTACGGGCTAGTCATTTACTTCAGAAAACACCTTTCCTCCCATGCCAGTTAATCAGGGCATGGTCACATTAAGCTGTCTTAAATACATGACTAATTCTTAGCATGGTCAATAACTTCAGAATAATTCAGAATGTTTTAAGATTGACATAGGAGAGACTACTTTATTATCTGTGGCGTGTATGGGAGGGGAAGGGGGCATTCCACTGGTGCTTTACCAGGCACCTGATGCAGGACAGCTGGGAAACATTCAAAGTGAAACTTTTTTCATATGTATTAACCTAAAACGTATCTGTAGCATACATGAAGACAAAAAAAAAATAATAATCAATTGATGGTTGAATATTTCCCAAAAATAAATCAGCATATGAGGAAAATGTGGCATTTTTCTCCTTTTTCAAAGTTGCAGCTGTTTTGAAGAAAATTCCTTAAAAGTTTCTTTCTCTTTTCTTATTTTTTTTAATGTTCTTCTAGCCTGGTAACAGTTATGGAAGTTCTAATTTTCATGGCACATGGAACACAGGAAGAAGAGAAGAAGAACCATCCCTTGAGCAGACAGAGGAGATTTATGGCAACTGCGATGATGTCTCATTTAAACCTAAGAAAAGACCATTTGATTCCTTTTTAGGAATGAAATAACCAGAGTGAGGGCTTATATTTCCAGCTTAGACTTCATTTTCTTTGCATCATTGTGAAAGGTTAAAGTGGTTGTGCTGAGCACTGCCTGGGCTGCTTTGGCTGGACACCTAGCCTGGGCTAGCTTACACCAGATATAACTGTGCTGTATGGGAGTCTGCAGCATTAGCATATTTTTTTTTTATTCATATGTAAAGATTATTTGTACTTCTGAAATGTAAACGGTTTTACCCAGTAGGTGTACTCTTAAAAATTTTAGATTAACTCTGACATACAGAATGGAGCATTTACAAAAAGTTAATTTGGTCTGAGGTATCGATGCTTCTGAAAAGCCTATATGAGAGGGCTGAGCAAGAAAATGTGTTTGATGTTGTCTATATCCATGACTATTGCATCTCAAATGGAGTGCTTTATAGAATAATAAATATCCATTATTTTCCACAAAGGAGGTGTTAGTTTGTGGCTGGGCAAAGAGTACTATTCAGCTCACAAAAGCAAATATATCAGGGATCCCTGAACATAGATTTAAAAGTATGAACAGCAGCTTGCTGTCTAACAGATGTGTGGTTTTACAGGTTTCTTGCTGCTCATCACAGTTATTTCAGTGCTTTCTATTTGTGGATGAAATAGAAGTGTAGCCCCTGCTCTCCTCCCTCCCTCCTTCCATCCCACCTCTCCCCCCATGTCCAGGAAAGAAAAAACAACCATGAAGACTGCAGCTGTCAGGTTATATTTAATAATAATTTATTATAAGGTTTAGTAGCGCAAAAAATAAAAGAGAACATGGAAGATATATGAATAAATGATGCAAAGCAGAAAAAGACGTGATTGAGAACATTTACAAAACAATACACATACATATGTAGTTGTATGTGTGCATATATTCAGCTGAAACCTACAAAAGAAACCACACAGAAATTGGACAAAAAAATGAAAAAAACAAAAAAAAACCAACCAACCAACCAAAAAAAGAAAATCCTTAAAGAAACAGAACTAGAAGGCAGACCTGAGAATTAGGTTCTACACATCTTTTGGCCTTTTACTGAGGACAAAATCCCAGTAGATGAAGGTGTTACCATGATGGCTGATAATCATATACTACAAGCTGTGTGCCTGGCCCACCTGTGTTTGTCTCCCCTTTTCATTTGAAGCATTAGTAAAAGTTGTTTTTGTTTTTGTTTTTGTTTTTTTTTTTGAGGGGGAAGTTTTGTGAGTCTGCCTATGGTTCAGTTACCTGTTCCACTGGGCTCACTAGGAAGGTGCATCAACAGCCTGACAGTGAAAAGCACATTTTCCATAGCCTTCTGCGACGGAAAGCTTTCTTCACGTACACAGAAAAATAGGAGTCTAGGTTCTTCTGAGGATAAAGTGGTCACGGGGCTTCTCTGAACTATTTGAGCTATAATAGTGCTGTGTGGTTAGCCTACACCTCAGCTAAAAATGTAAAATCCTAAACCAAAACGTCCTTCAACTTATCGCTGAATACTTGTGTACAATGTCATGTAACATTAGAAAACATCTCATTTTTGTTTTGTGTACCCCTGAACAAGGACACATACAAATTGTAAGGGCTATTTCTGTCTCTTTCACTTTGAGGGCTTTCAAGATATATAAATGCTTGCATGCGAAGTTGATGAGGATACACAGAACTGTACTATTAATATGTTGGTTTATTTCCTGAGTTATCAAATGTTATAGCAGATAATTCTAAGTTGTGCACAGCATTACAAATAAAACCCTGTAGTACTGGGTTTCTTTGATGATCCCATTTATTTTAAAAAGCTAAAATGATAATGTAATGAATTTGATTCTACTGAAGTTCTCAGATGGAAGCCTGATACAGAAATATCCATAAGCTGAGAAGCTGGTAATGTTTCACTGCTTGTGGAGACAGTCAAAATACATCCCTACTTTACTAAGGGTAAAAGCGGGAGAGGTTGAGGTTGAGTAGCTGGAATACCGGATAGCTTTGTTTATTTCTGGTAAAACCCTTATTTCTTGCCTCCACTGGTACTTTTAGCTTTTCTTTTCAAAATAATCACTTATTTTTGAGATTTGAGGAAGAAAAAAAATCTGTAGTGCACATCTTTGCAGGTATTTTATCTATTTTAATTCAAATTTCATAGACATATTACTTCTACCAGGATAGTCCACAGGGAAAACCACATCACACATAGCATAATAAGAACAATATATTATTTCTTTTTCTAAAAACAAATGTAAAACAACAGCTTCATTTTTCTACCATGGTAATATCAGTGAACAGCAGCTGAACATGAGACTGATACAAATGAAAACCCAAGAGAAAACAACCCCAAATTTATCAATATTATAATTTTCTTAAAAACTACACACAAGCTACACATAAGAGAAACTTCCAAAAGTGTAATTTGAAATGTAATATGAAAACTTTGGATATATTATGAGCCTGGCAAGACAGGAGTCAGTAAAAGTCTGTTTACTGTGAAAGAGTTTGAATTATGTAAATAGACTTTCCAATGTAAAATAGTACAAAATATTGCTGCTTATTGCTATTTATTTTCAATACTTTCCATAGATTTCCCCTTTTCTTTGGGAAAATTTTAGTCCCTTTTGAGTAAACTTTATGAATTGCAATTTGGAAATTTTATGTTGAACAATCAGTGTGCTATTACATGCTGTATTGCTTGCCCAACTAATTAAGAGCAAGGGAAAAAAAATCAAGAAAGTAACATGACACAACTATAGACAGAACCAGCTCAGCACACTAGCTAAACTCCAAGATAATTCTCTCTTTTTTTTGTGTGTGTGTGTTAATGCCTTGGAAACTTTGCTGCAAGGAAATAAACATAATAAAGCACGGTACCATTTAAAAACAGAGTCTTGAATTACTGGGTAACTACCTTCTGTGTAACTGGAAAATGAATCTACGAGCTTTTAAGAAAACAAAAATCAGTTTTCTTTTCCATAATAATAAAATTCATCTTTTATGCAGGATGAAAAAAAGGTGGATGGTTAAGTCCCATGTTCAAAAGAAAATTCCATGATAAACAGTTCTACTAACTTTTTAAAGGGTGTAAACTCACTTTTTTTTTTTGTGTTTTTTAAAGGAAATCAGAGAAAGAAACATTTGTAATCAGTCTTTGCTGGGATCTTTGAATGTAGGAGAGGCAGTCACCAGAGTATGGCTCAACAGGGCAAATATGAAACTCAGTCTGTGAAAGAACGTGAAAGAACGGTAACATATATTATCTCCTATTATTTTCTTTATCTCAATTATGTTCCTTTACTTTGAAGAGCTTCTTTGGCTCTTTAATATATATTATTCTGCCTGTCTTCTGCTCCCCCTTGGCTACGCATCTGGGGGTAAAACGTTTCTGTGAGGAAACAGCCTGCTTTAAGGGCTGGACGCACCAAGGAACACAAGAAGCTGGATTCCTCCAAATCCCCTTCTTTCTGACCTCCACCTGCCCTAAATTCCCAGGTACCTTTTCTGTTTGGCAAATAATTGTTTTCATTTATCAGCAGCTTGATCTAACTGTGCTGTGCAACTTAACCAACTGCTTCCCATCCAAATCTTATCCCAGGATTAGGGCACAGGACCAAGGCAACATAGCAGGCAGAATAGTTAATGTAGAAGTGCTACCTGTTTGATCACAGGTGGATGCCAGCCTGCTCCTGAGAGATCCAAATAAAAAAAAAGATTACTTTGGAAAAAGAAAAGATTTCAGAGGACTAACCTCATTGTCAGGTAAGGGTAGTAAGGATTTCTTTGTAATCATAAAGACATATGGGAGGGAACCAGGGCTCTGAGTTTTTTTAAATGTGTTTTTAAATCTTACCTGCATCACGCCCCTCTAAATATTCTATGCTACTGAGCTATGCAAAAGTTCAAATCAATGGTGATTATTTATAGAAGTTGAAATTGTGCCCCTGTGTGTACTCCCCAGTGCAAGTGAAAGACTTATTTCCTTTAAAAAGCCTAGGTGACCAGGAGGACTTGATGCCCTAAGTGGCTTAGCAAGTCTGACACTAAGGGCTAGTTTCAAAACCAGACTTGTCTGTCTACAGGATAAGTGCTAAAATGCTCTTTTATGCTGTGGACTCCAGGAATAGAAACTATATGTCAGGTTCTTAGCCTATTATTTAAGGTCTTAGTAAGGTGTACTTAGATAAAATAACTAATATGAATTACTAGCAGTGGTTGGCATAGTTCTAAACTTATGTTTATTTAAAAAGAGAATTTTGTGGTCTTAGGCAAAAAGTGTCTAGGTTATTCTAAAGGATATTTAACAACTTCCTTAAAAGGTTATGTAATTAGGTTGTTCCACTAAATATTTCATTTCTAGTATTAACCCATAAATTTTATAACATGATTTAAGTGATCAATAACTTATCATACTAAGATACAGCCAAAAAAATCCACAGTATCTTTCCTTTATTCTCTTTCCCCCCCCAATACTTCTCTCTGTTTGTGCTGATGTCTATATGTGTTCTTGAAGACAGAAATGAATGTTAAGAATAACTCTCTGTTAATACCATTTTTTCCTCTGAAATAAAACTGTCTGAAGCAGACACAAAATACCATTCCCATCCCCTGATAAAGCCAGAAGTTGAATGTTCTGGGAAACTGTTTTGCACTCAACATGACCCACTGCTGTGTGCTTAAATATCTGCTGAATTCTCCTAATCTTTTTTTTCCTTCATTGTCTGTTTTTCCTTGTAACTATCTTAAATCAGTGCAACTTACAAATAGCAGTTCTGGATATTTCCTGTCACAGCCTGTCATCTATAGAAATTCAGGAAATGCAATAATTAACATCAACTAGGATAACTTTATTTTACATCATCTATTCTGTTTTAGCTATAGGAGCAGTGATGAGAATAAATGTTTAACTGAAACCTCTATTTTTGTTACTGGTATGGTATTGCCAAGACAGCTGATGAATTTTCTTCAATTTCTATTATGTCCATTTCAGTCTTGTTATCATACAATAAAAAAAAAATCGAAACCAATATGTAGC